CAGTTTGTTATCGATAGTAGGTTACCTATTTTTCAACTTATTTCTGGTGGTACATTTGAGAAAGAAATACTACTTTGGGAAAGAGAAGCAATATTCCATTAAAAGTAGCGTGTTTTTAGAGCAATTTTACCGGATATCGGGGTCACGCGATACTTTGTATGACTGTATGGCAAATGTCGCAATGAATTTGATATGTTAAAACTTTTTTAAAGCATATATGGTTGCAGTATAGCCAACAGATTCAAACTGAAATTCTCTGCTATGTCACTGCGTTTCGCCGCAGAGAAAACGTTTAAGTTCTAATCAGCAGAAAAACAACAGACAGTGAAATAGGAAGGACACGACCAGTTGTGTCGATCAAACTGAAGAATATTCCGTTATACATCCAATCTCGTTCCCAGAGCCTTCGTTACCCTTGTCTAGCGGTCGGAAAACGTGAGCTCTGGAAGCAACCATTTTACCGAATTCTGCCCATCCGTTTTCACTGCGCAGTCTGCATCTATGGCGCATGCCTAAAATGGTTGCTCCCAGAGCTCTCGTTTTCCGACCGCTGGTCAAGGGAACGAAGACTCTGGGAACGAGATTGAATGTTCGGCAACTTTTTGGGAACTTCTGGTATTTCGAGCAACTCTTTTCGTTTCGAGCAACTTTTTGCATTTTATACAATTTCTAGTTTTCCATCATCAATGAGAAATCGGAGCAGCTTTTAGTGCTTAAATTGGCCTTGCTTCCGTATTTCACAATGCTTTTGTGGACAATTTATGAATTTCATGTGCAAAAGGAGCCAGATCCCTCCTCCCCCCCTGGGGCAGATGATAGGTGCAATATGTTTTACCTAACGGTACAACATATTTGAAACTTATCTTGGCTGCATATTTTTATTGCTTTTTTATTGTATTTGTGTTGGTCACTGAAAAACCCATTTGTGGGAATGTGCAATAAAGTTTCATTCATTCATTCATACATGGTCTGACACCTGATTGTCAAACCATGAACTATTGAACCATGAACCGTGATAGTTGACGAGGGCGCAGCCGAGGGCGCGAGGGCGCGATAGAAATCTCGAGCTCATAATCTAACTGTTTGTTAGTATAAATCTATTAGCGTTCTATCATGAATGCCGACCTCTGATTGGCTACACTACTCACTATCTATTCTGTGATAGATAGTGAGTAGCGTAGCAGTGTGCTCCTGTTAACAAAATGACGGCCGCTTCTTGGCGTTTTCGAATTGACTGTGAAAAGGATTTAACTTAAGTTTTGGTCAATTGTCAGAGGATCAAAACTGGAGAATAAAACTTTTGAGGGAAATCAGAAGGTCAGCAAATATAGGCTGATTTAGAGCTTCCATGGTTGCTTTCTTAAGTCCCCACAGGATGCCCTAGACCATTCGGCTTCAGCTTAATTTAGGATATACCTGGGAGACTACGTCAACGTTGCCACGCATACTCTTCAATGCAAACCAAAATATCAGCTAAAGATATAAAGCTCATAGCTTTTGGTAAAGGTAGCAAAATTTAGGTGAAAAAGTCGTCACGATTTTAAAGGCTTTCTTTATTCTTGTCCCGATGGCTTCGCAGAGCTCTTGTCTCCATCATATGCCAAAGACGAGAAAGGGAATCGTATGTGCTTTTCAGCGGGTTAGGGTTTGCCCTAGTACCTTCGCAGCCGTTTTTTGGAGCGTTGCGTGACATCCCAAAAAACTGCTCCGCAGGAGACTACAATAGGTTTGTCCTTGTGTGGCAAAAAATCAAAAATCACTCTTGATATAAATGGGATTAGCTATATAAAGCACAACGTAAATGCAAAAATATGATGTAACATTTTTATTGTTATTTTCTCCCTAAGAAGACATCAGCTGATGTGTATTATTCTAATACAATGTGTCATCTTCACAGAATTTTTCTCTTGGTTGGGGAAGACACAGCATCACGCATCTTTGTCGCAGCCGTTTTATTTTTTCTTTTTCGAGGTGACGGCGACTCGCTGAACAACGTGGCAGGTTTTCTTTTCCTCGGCGATGCTGTATCACTCTGAGATGAAGACGAGTCAACTGCATTATCCAGTGGTTCTTGCTTCTTAACAGCTTTAGTAAAATGGTTTCCTAAAAACAAAAATTAAAGCATTGAATTGAATACTTTCCTTGATGAAAGAGTATAAACGAATATAAAAAACATGTGAGATAAAAAATGATCCTCAACGAGAATTAACTGTTCAACTAAAAATATTAAAATTGCAGTCAGGGATAGACATCAGTAGTACACACTGTGTGGCTAGCCTTTTACTTCCGGTTTACTTATCCGGTTTAACTGAGATCACGTGACATTTTCCCTAGGGAATCACACGTTTTGATTTTCGTTTTGCGCTTTACAGTTTTGTTGCTTGCCCCTTCGCACGTTGGCAAGATTGGTTCCTGTTTTGTACCCTTTTGAACGTTGACGACGGCATTGCCTTTGGTTGCGCGTTGTGGATCTTGTGAAATTAAATCAGCTAACGTCAACTATACACTGACTCTACTAAAACGTTAAACCAATGTTTATTGCTACTTTATATACAAAGACGTTTCGACCGAACAACTATATAAACTGTTTCATAAAACTAAAGTCGGACAAAGGACAATAAATTCTGCTGTGACACTTTTCGTCCCAATTTCGGTGTGTCAGTTCTTCTTACAGATGGCTAGACTTTCCTTTTTATGTTACTTGTGAGAATTTGGCGGTGAATCAGGACAATATCACAGAGTTGATCATTATCTCTATTCTCATCACAATCCTACTTGACCGTCTATTAACATAGTAAGGAGAATATTGATCTCGGTCATTCTAGAAATATTAAGGACTAATTTTAAAATAGTTGAGCTTCTGTGAAATTTTATCTTCCAAAAAATATCCAAAATACACTGTACGTGGAAAATTACTTTCTCAGAAACCTGCAAGGCAAAGTACTTGTATCTATCTTAAAAAGAAATATCCAAAAAATTAAATGCGCTGTACAGAACGTGGTAAATTACATTCTAAAAAAGCTGCTGGCACTTGCGAACACACGCTAAAAAGTACCAAACTGCACCTTTGCCAAGAAGCCATCTTGCAGCCTCGGCCTTGTGACGAGTCAATTTCCACTCTATTTCAGACACGTGATCCTTCTTGGGTACAAGATCGGAACGAAAGTGGAACAGTGGCCACCAATCAGCTCGCTCGTCCCAGAGCATGCTCAATTTGCTCCTGTCATGTGCAGTGCAGAACTGCTGGAGAGTGTGGGCGAGTGTCTCCCAGGCTGTGAGACAGTGTCGACAAGCTGCATGATCGAGCTTGATGAAAACAGCACTTAAGATGTCAAGCAGTCCTTTCGATTCATCTGCAGGGAGAAGGCAAAAACAAAATAAAAACGGAAATGATGTTGGAAAAACACACCTAAGAAAATAGCTGAAACTCTGATGAAATTGCAAGGCAAACTTAGAATCCAGCCACTCTTGCTACTTGTAAATTATGCCCATTCACAAGCTGTCCAGCTCTACTATGTTTAAACCCTTAACAGTGGTTCTTATGCAGCTTAATTTGAATCTGTCACACTGTTTTTTCCACAAAAAAAGATTGTGTGACAAGCCCACCAAAAACTGAGAATTAAGCTGGAAATTAGCCCGTAATCAGCCGTTCTTATTTGCCATGAAAAATAAGAACACCTGATTATAGGTTAGCTGGAAATTTAATTTGCCATAAGAACTTAAATTTGGACAAATTTTGATCTATGATCTTTGAAATGCTTTGGATTAAGAACAAAAGACCGAAACTAAACATGCAAAGGGGTAGAAAGCAGCACAATTCGTCAGATGAATTCTCGGACCTCTGAAATTTTGAGATATATGAATCTGTCCTCATTCAGAGAGAGTGAGTAAAATAGGTTAAAGGCAGTGATATTTAGTGATATCCACTCACCAGTCTTGTTTGTAACAAGCTTGCAGTATTCTTCACTAAGCTCACTNTGCTCAATTTGCTCCTGTCATGTGCAGTGCAGAACTGCTGGAGAGTGTGGGCGAGTGTCTCCCAGGCTGTGAGACAGTGTCGACAAGCTGCATGATCGAGCTTGATGAAAACAGCACTTAGGATATCAAGCAGTCTTTTCGATTCATCTGCAGGAAGAAGGCAAAAACAAAATGAAACCGGAAATGATGTTGGAAAAACACACCTAAGAAAATAGCTGAAACTGTGATGAAATTGCAAGGCAAACTTAGAATCCAGCCACTCTTGTTACTTGTAAATTATGCCCATTCTGCAGCTGTCCAACCCAATTCTCCAATTTGGAAAAATATTTAAGAACAAAAGACCAAAACTAAACACGCAAAGGGATAGAGAGCATCACAATTTGTCAGTTGAATTCTTGGACCTGTGAAATTTTTAGATATATGAATCTGTCCTCATTAAGAGAGTTAGTAAAATAGGTTAAAGGCACTGATATTTAGTGATATCCACTCACCAGTCTTGTTTGTAACAAGCTTGCAGTATTCTTCACTAAGCTCACTTGTTGGATCAACAGTTAACAAGTCTTCAAGTACATTGAGAAGTTCTTTTTTGTGGACATTTTCACTCTTGAGAAAGTAGTACAAGTACCTGAAAAAAAATGTCTGTGACAGTTGTCCATCCTTGGCACAGGGAAACCACACCTAACAGCATGTAGGATGCCTGTGCCTTGGAGGTTATTCTTCAGAAAAGTAAAGATAGAAAAAACAGAGAGGAGTACTTTGTGTCAGTGTGGCTTTCATAATCCCTAACAGTGACCAACAGACCTGTGCGAAGTTCCTCCCTACATCTTTTCCATTTTCTTTTAAACTTCTGTCTTGAAGGATGGAGAGTTACAAGCACAATAGAGAGGTCTAGGCATCTAATATTATTTGTCTATAGTAGGAACAAAATTGAAGGGCCCTGGGGTAACATTACGCAAAGTGACCTTTACGTTAGTAGCTTTTTTCAATTAACTCAAATTTCGCTTAAATTTGGAGTAGCGTTCAATTTGGTAAATGAGACATTGCCCCACCTTTTTTCACTGTTTCTACTTAAATTCTGAGCACAAAGAGGCCAAAAAATTGAGTAAGTGCTGTTTGTAAAAGCATATACATAACACTTGATTTCACATTATTATACAAAACAGTTATTGTCTAACCTGTGTGCATTGGGGTTCTCTGGGTTCTTTTGCTTGTATCTCAGTAAGATCCTCTTTGCTTCATCAGCTCTGTCATAATACTTTAACATCTCAACTTGCCTTGTAATGAAAATATCCCACACACCACAATGTTCCACTAGATTATCAAACAAAATTAATGCTTTCTTCCCATAAAAGTCCATTTGACGTCTCAAGTTAGCATCATTCACATTTTCAGCCATAAAAAGATCTTCAGCATCTAAATCTTTCTTGTCAAACTGGACCTTGCATTTCTTCCACGAAAGATAAGCAAAGAGTCCATTGTATGCTCTGAGAAGGGTGCTTGACAAAAATGGTTTTTGTGAAAGTTTAGATGTCAGCAACTCCTGCGCTTCAGTGATGTCAGAGTTGTGTTTGACCAAATACATGGTAAGGTCAAGCAATATCTCACTTTTAAATGGAACACAGATCACAAACATATTCTTGATCATCTGGCTTACATGAGCAAAGCTCCCTGGTTGATTTCTTATTACTTCAACTCCTGTCTACCAAAAAAAGTTCATAATCATTTTGTTGTCAGTCAAGGTATACTGCATTTTAATATTTACTGTAATACTAAAGATAAACTTCATAACATACTTTTAACTGGATTTAGTGAAATTTTTAGTAAAATATGTTGGCCAAGCCTGCTAATTTGATCAGCAAAAATACAACAATTTACAGATATGACATTCACATACATTTTTAATTAATAAACAAACACAAAATGTATAATTATTTTTTTAATCCATAATTCATTGTTAATTAGAAAATAGCTGCTGTATATCTGGGGCTAAGCTTCCATTTTTTTTTGTCCATGCACAGCAGGAAATTGTAGACCATGTATGTCCCAGATCTTGTGTTACGTGCGCCACCCCCAACACAGATGTAAATATTTTCACTTTTTCATCCTATATCCTAAACCAAATAGAAAATGGTGCTCCTATGTTTTCTCAGAAAATAATGCACTTTTGAGATCTGGGAAACTGCTGGACAAATTGCAGTTGCATGCATTAGTTTCTTGGAGAATGTGAAACACCATCTTTTATTTGGAAATTATCAATAACATTATATTTGCTTACCCTCCAAAATAGCTCAGGTATTCTGCGACATGCTCCACATAATCCAACAAGGCACTCCAGAGCTTCCTCGAATCTGTGTCTCAAGAGATGGTCCAACAACAGTCGCGTGAGGTACAAAACATGCTTTAAACGATATTGCTGGCTGCCCCGTTCTGTCCCTGTGTATACAATTTATTATGAATGTTAGAAATTTTTAAGCATCTGAAATTTTAAGGGTCCAAAATATTTAAAGCACAGTGCAAAACTTTTAAGTTGCCCCAAAGTTTAGTTTCCTTTATGAGGCAAACTCTAGTTGAGACACTGCTGGAGATATGTAACCGCTTGGTAGAATATTCTTGTCGATACATCTGTAAAATCTTGAGGGTGCAGTAAAACTTTCAAAACCTCTCTGCTTTTGTCATGTAAAAGCTATGAGCCAGTAGTCTGTAGCTAATCCAGATAAGACCAGATAAACTGAGTTGAGAAAAGTTAAAAATGGTTTTTCCTTCGAACCTTCCTGTGCAGAATGAATGTGCATCGACAGGCATACAAGTAGCCGATTAATGCATGCGTTTCTTCAGGTTCCTTCTGAACTCCTCATCTTTCTTGGTAAATTTTACCATGAGATGTCTAACTGAAGAAATGCTCCTTTTGAAAACGGGTTTTCATACTGTTTGAACAACAAAGATTCCAAAAATAATGTTGCTCAGGATCATCCCTAAATAATATAAAATTCGTAGCAGACGCTTTCATGAGACAAACACAAACTTAACTAATAATAATCTTGCAAATGAAAGGTACATCAGTGACTACAGAAGTCAAGGACGAAGTCAAATAAGATTCTATAATCAAGCTCGATCGATAAATTTCATTGTTCCAGTGCATTTAATTTCGAAAATAAGCTTTTAAGATGCATGAGTCACTTCTCGAAAAGGATCTTGTAATTTTAGTCTACTCTACGCTAATTTGTTTGATACTGTGAACAGAGAGCCTCACCGAAGGTGTAGCTTAGGCATTTCTCTCGCCATATGTGCTGGAATATGCATCCTCTAAACCACGCTTTCGATTTCACACGCGTCGCTATCCAGTAATGTGAAACGGCCGCCATGTTTCAACAGGCAGTTTGCAGGTTGTGTAAGCAGCCATGAAAAATCCCAGGACTTGCTTGGCAATCTCGTTCTCAGGGCCTTTTCCCTGGTTTGGGGGTGGAACTGGGAACGAGGTTGATGCTGGCGCAAAATAGGCTGATTTAGCAAGAGAACGGGAACGTCACTTGGCGACTGCGCGCGAAGTACAAATACCCAAATATGGTCAGATGGGGGAAGAAACAATCCTAAATGAAGACGGGTTACTTTCTAAAGCCGCATCATTGTATACAGAAGACTCTGCTGCTTATCCTGACGACTCGCTGCTGAACTCGGAAGATGAATTTCCTAGCGCTCACATTCAACGGTCAATGGACAAACCAAAAGAGCGCCAGGACGAGCAACCATCCAAACCACCTAATAAGTTCTACCGTGACGTTCCGCGTGGCAGTTACGAGCACCAAAAAGTTCGAAGAGTCCATCTCTTAGCTGAAAGCACATTCTGATGAGGGAACTTGCCCAAAAACTTTGCGTTACGACGAAAGGGCGAATATTTCGCCCAATGAAGAATCCAAACAAGACATTGCCATAGTCAGAAAGAACGCCCAGCAGAAATATTTAGGCGCTCTCATTAAATTTCACCACAGGCGAGTAGAGCAGAATAAAACCAAACTCCACAGGATTAAACAGCTAGAACAGCGTAAGAGCAATGATGAAAAGCTAACTATGATTGTATGAATAAGGCACATTACACGGTCCTTGAACCGAGAATCAATGTAAACAAACATGAAGAAAGAATTGAAAACATCCAGAAAAATTCACGGCTGAAATTTCAGATACAGAAATAACTTTCCTGGATACATGCGTATATGAGGGTGAAAGATTCAAGAAGGAATCCATTCACGACGCGCGCACGCACTTCAAACCGGCAGAAACGTTCCGATACACACACTTCACCTCCTGCCACCCTCTAGGCGTCAGGAAAGGCTTTATATAACAAAGGCGCAGCCTTAAGACTTCTGAGAACCAACTCTTCAAAAGCTACATTTGAAGAAAACATTACACATTTCAAACGCAGATTACGCGACAGAGGTTATCCAGATAACCTTTTATAAAACACTCTCTCAGAAATTAAATTTAGCGAAAGAATGTCGGCTCTACAAAATAAACAAAAAACGTGCAAAAGGATTTTGCCGTTTGTTACAGAATATCGCCCATCTGTGCCTAATCTTAAAACCATTCTCATGAGTAAATGGCTTTTAATACAAAAGCAGCCTCTGCTAAGGGAGATCTGTAAAGACCCTCCCTTTCATACAGAAAAGGGGGATCTTTAAAAAACGTACTCGTTAGAGCAAAACTTTGAAGGTCAAAGTTTTCCTATCTTGACCAATAGGAGTCGTGTTTGGCCTGTCATCCATTTTTATCACCAAAGTGGTCTCAAAATATCGCGCGCTCTTTTGTCAACATGTTTTGGGACCATTTTTTCGTGACCACATTAGTATCTTCTTCAATTTTCTAGAACTGTAACATCTGTTGCTTCGGAGCACATGTTTTCTTGCCATTGTGAAGCTTATTCGTTCGCTTTCCCCCCTACAAAATGTCGATCTGGATAAACATATTTCACCGCGCCATGGTTGAACCCGCCGCCATTTTTAGTGAAGTGGAACCCAGGTCTCGACCGTCACATTTGTGGACGGTCACAAAGCTCGGTCGAAAAGTGGTCCCAAAAAA